CAGTTCAGGGCTTCATTTCAAGTTTGGATTTTAGTTGGTTTTTAGGAGAAAAAAGCTCTGCTATAAAGAAAGGTTGATGGAAATTTCAAAACCCCAAAGTAAATGCAAAGAAAAGAAACCACACAGTTCCATTCAGAGATATCTGAGTTGAAAAGTCTGATTATTGCTATTGCTTTTCCCCATGCAACCAATTCAGCAGCACCAAGCCCAAGGCACGGCGTGCTCTAGCACTGCCAACCCTGCATCTTTGCTTTAAACATTTGTACCCATTTTCCCCTCACTGCTCCACCAGCATTAGAAGCAAATATGGATTTCAGTGGAATTCTTGAGTCAACAGTGTTTTATTAAACATGACCATATCGTTGTGAAGAAGACACAACGATCCAAATTACTTCAAGTTAGGAAAAGAAGTGAAAAGTCTACCAATTCCACCGAGTGTTCCTATAAGGTCTGATACTAAGCAGTATAATCCAGGCAATCCATCATCTGGCAGGAGACCATGCGTGCTTCCCAAATACTTCACAAAAAAGGAAATGGGATCACGCCCCGCTCCCAATTCCCAATCTTATGTAAAAGCAATAGAAATCAAACATCTGGGCTGGTTGCGCACCGGGATTTGGGTGACATTGTGTAACGTGGGAACAGCACCAAAAGTAATCAACAAAATTATCTCCTTGTAAATCACTGCAGCCCAGCTACAATTCCTTTATGTATTCTATAGCTTTCTCCACGTTTCCCAGCTATGTAGGTTGAATAAGAAACAAAGACCTTTGCAATCCAAAGCCACACTTACACCAGGAGGACAGAAAACCCGCACCCCAGTAGAGACCAACCTGAATCTCCCTGCACCACACGGCTGCATTTTTGTATGTATATAATCCACTTGGAACATTTCCTTCCAAAATTGCCTATGGATGCATTTCACATTTAAAGAAAATACAGAAAGAATTAGCATTGACACTGCACCCCATGAATACTAATGGAGCATCTCCCACCGGGTGCAGCAAGGGAGGGATTTCATTGACACTTGCTCCTTTTGCAAGCTCAAGAGGGGAATGGTGACAGCCTGAGCAGGAGCTCCCCAGGGAGAGCTGGGACTTGAACTCAAGGGGGGGTTAAGTCACACTGACTGCTTGAGGCATTGCTGTATGCCAACTTAAAGAGAAATTTGGGAGGTAGAAAAGACAGGGTGCTCAGAGAAGCTGTGGCTTCCCCATCCCTGGCAATGTTCAAGGCCAGGTTGGACACAGGGGCTTGAAGCAACCCGGTCTAGTGGAAGGTGCTCCTGCCTATGGTAGAGGGTTACTGAATGAGCTTTAAGGTCTCTTCCTACCCAAATCATTCTGTGATATTATGTAAAGTCCTGGCATGAAACTAGACAGCAACACATTTCATCAACACATTTCATCATAACTGTGAATTAAATGAGGGGTTTTTTCCTATATAAAGGTGTTTCCCCATGTGCCTTGCCTGCCTCCCTGCATAACTCACCCTGGCTACCCTCAGCCTCTGAATCTGTGGCTGAGAGAGATCACTCTTCCACTCCTGGCTTAAATCCATCAGCCTGTCCCTGCAAAACACCCTGAGCTTCACCCAACGATGGCTCCATTTGATGAGTGGAGTGATGGATAACCCTGTTCTGTAAAACACACAGGAACCCTGCGGTGTTAATCCAAGGGTTGCCCTAGCAAGGAGTGAACTGGGGCTTGACCTGGTTGAGGATGGCTGCACTGGAAACTTCAGATGTGTTGGGATTTTGCCACTGGTCATTTTCACCCACTCCCACAGCACATGGATGAACCTGTCACAAATAACTCTTCCACGGGGCTTGAGCAAGGGCTGTAGATGGCATCTAGTTGCCACAAGATGACTGGACGGGCTTGATCAGCCTTGGCCAGGAAAGCAAAGCTTTGTGTGCATGACTCCTTTGGGGTTTCTTTGCTTCTTAAGTAACTAAAATTAAACCCCAAGCTGAAATTCAGATGATTTCAATGGAGAGGAAAGGATGGGAAGAGAAAAAAGAGGTTTTCTAAGAAACCAGCCTGCATCAGAGAACCTTTCTGAGCCATCTCCTCCAACAAAAAGGAGTTTTGCTGCTGCACGTGCTCACGCATCTCATTCCGTGTCCCATGTCACAAAATTAACTTGGGCAGACAGCTCAAGGACTCATACAGATGAGATCTGCAGGAAAGAGGCTTTTGGGGGATGCCACAGCTTTGCTTCTGCTCCAATCCTGCAGCGTTCCCTGTCATTCCCGCTGCTCTGCTCGCCTTGCCATGACTTTCCATAGAGGACAGACACGAATGCAGAAGGACTCTTCAAGAAGAGCTCCACAAACTACATTAGCTTTAAAAACCAGTTATCCTGCCTTTCAATCAAGCAAGCCTGAATACCTAAATAATAAAATCTCCTTTCAAGATGATGTGATCAGAAGTGACATAAGAGAAATAAAAGGGGGGGAAGAAAAATAAAGATTAAAAAAAGAGATACGGGTTGTCCTGGCAACTGGCATCCCTTTCCAGCACTCCAAGATTACTGGATGAAATAGATGTTTCCTAATTAAATTCATAAAAGGTGGCATTTATCAGAGGGGGACCACTTGCTATTTTGCTGTAGAAATGGTTATTTTCTTACAAGTGAAGGATTTAATAATGGGCTGGCTTTGATCTAAATGCAATGCTTCCATCCTCTTTTAATCGAGCAGGGGATTTCTTCTTTCTTCAACTTTAAACAAGAATAACAGGAATTGCACATAAAGCCTACATCAGTCCCTCAGATTAAGAAGAACCGGCTGTGAACAGCCTCTCACATGCAATCATATCTTCCACTGTAATTATCCTGGATTTATAACACTCCGGGTGAGATAAAAATCACACACTCACTAAACTGAAACCTGAACCTCACTGAAAACATCAGCGTTTCTCCCAGCCTTGACAGGCTGAGGACTTGGTGCCAACGAGCCAACTGGCAACCTGCAGTCCTGCCCATCAGCCTCTCATCCAAGGTCAAGGACTGCAGAACTGGAATGACAGCCTTGGAGAAAGGCTGCCAGATTTAATAAATCTGCCTCAAAGCTGACCTTTCTTCTCTGGGCACTGCTTGGAATTTAGCAACGGGCTGATGGGAGCTGCAGACACAAGGAGAATGGCAACGTCATGGTGGTTGGTGTGGTTTTCCATGCAAATTTTGGAGTCCCAGAAAAAAGGAAGAGCAAGAAGCGTTAAGACTGGGTTATGAAACTATTAAAGACGTCCTAGTACAGATTAGCATGCTCTGGTCTACAAAAAGCATCCCACCGGGGTTCAAACTGCAGTGTGTATGGGTGCTATGAAAAGGCAGCTGCTTAGGAGAGAGAGAATGGCTTCAGTGCATCTCTTAAGTCTTTGAACTCCAGGACCTCTTGAGATAAACAGTCTAAATTAAGCAGCAAAACATTCCAGGCTCCCTAGCAAAGCCCCATCCGTTTCAGAGCAGCCCTTGCAAAGCGAGGCATCTACATCTACCGATGGCCACAGGACACCGAAACATTTTACAGTGACTTCAAGTGGCCTCCAAAGATTTAAACACAAAATGGCTGGTTTGCTCCAAAACTCAACTTCCTTTGGAAAAGCAGACAGCTCTTTTGTGTGCTTCTCGTCTAAATAAATCTATTTAGAGCAGTGCACATACTGAACTGGAGAGCACTGAAGAGCATAGGCTAGGAGGCAGGCATTTGATGAAATATTTATCGTTCAAAACCAATGTAAAAACAACAAGAAGGGAGAAGTCACTTTTAAAAGGCTTCTTTGAAATGTGCAGTTCTGAGGAAGCACACTGGGATCAACAAAAGTCTATCTATGAGGTGCAACGGGAGCAGATAAGGAAGCAGATGGAGAGCTTGCCAGCAGGGACCAGCCCCTTCTTGTATGTTGCTTCCTATGGAAGGAGCAGCAGCAAACATCCAGGAGCAGTGTGAAGGACATCACCCACATGGTCCTCACCATAGCAGGAGATCCTGTGAAGGGAGAAAGCAGGGAGATCACCTCTCTTCCACTCATTGTGTTTGGTAGGAACATCAGAGCAGATGAGAGCACTCCAGCAACAGCCCAAGGGCTACCTCAGATGAGATGGAGGAATAATGTGCGGAGGGATGGGGCAACTGCCCTGGTGCACACCAGGTCAGAAGGCAATGAACAGGCTCCAAAAGAAAAGGAGGGGAAGCATTTTTGCCTACAGATGCTCCTCCAAGGTGCCACAGAGGCAAATTACTTTCTTCAGATGACTGACTAAAGCATTCAAAAGATACAGTCACATCTGGTAGCACTGGTGTGCAACTGAATTCTGACCAGCTGTCAGATCCCTCTCTCATTGTGGAACATGGGGAAAGCATGGAGCAATGGCCAGTCTGGCCACAAGGTCCTCCTCCAAGCCCCAGAAACCTGTTCCCTCCTCCCAGGGCTCTCAGAACTGATGCTCTTCTGAAATAGCTGGTGTAGAAAGAGGCTTTTTCACACAGAGGTGTATCAGAGATGACTGTGGGCTTTCTACTGCAGCTTTTTTCTCCTCCACCATAAAATTGATGACCTGAACTGGAAAGATTCCAATTCCTAGGGACAGGACATCAGCAGGACACAGATCTCTTTTCACATCTTCCCTTCTCAGAGCACCAGGATGCTTAGGGCAACGATGGCAACCACCCAGCACCCAGAGACAGACACTGCCCATGCGGTCCAGCAGTGGCTTCTCACCATGATACAAGGAACATAAATGAGCATTGCTTGCAACACTTTACATCTGCACCACCCATTGACTGAGCTGAAATAAGAATATCACAGCAACATCCTGTATTACAACACATTCAATTTATTTATGAATTTATGATCTCTCAAAGACTCAATTAGCTTCAGTTTACTCATCTGTGAGATGGGTACAGGATCTTATATCTACTTCAGAGCTACCATCCATCATCAGATAAATTATTCATCATTTTACAAGGTATCATTAGGCATGCTCTTTCATACCTGGGAATACACATACACGCAGAAGGCTCTAGATGATCACTTAATGCTCAATAGCTTTCATCTCATTGATGGAGACCCAGGGAGAAATGACCTCTGCTATCCTTGTTTTATGAAGGAGCCAAAGTCTGATCATGGAATAAGGATTAGGGATTTCTCAGCTCTAGCAGTCCTGTTCCTGCTCTCCTGTACTACCCTAGCTCTCTTATAGCTCAGTTCTTCCACCTCAATTCCTGACGTTTGATTTATTCACACCTATAAAATGCAACAAAAACATAAATATTCCTGTATGAAAGGTGCTACGAGAGGGAAAAATATCATCATGCCCAAAGCCCATGATGAGAGGTGACTTGGCTTTAACAGATTAGTCAATACTGCCTGCTGAAAAACAGACCTCCTGATGGATTTCAGTGTCTGCTCTGCCTTGAATAGCAAAAGCACTTAAGTGCTTACGCAGAATGCTGCTCCTTTCATTGACAATTTACAACCAGGGTTAGTGTCTGAAGATAGCTGGCATGAGCAGATAAACTGCCAGGGCCCTAAGATACTAATCATCTATTATCCTCTTTGCCATTGCTTGCCAATGAGACATTGCTGATACAGAGGGTATTTTTGTCCTGTTCCGTTCACCCCATAAATTAAAGAGGGAACACCTCTTTTGAACTGTACATTGCTGGCTCTCCTCGTTCGCTCCGTTTTGGTTTAAACACCCAATTTCCCTGTGGAAAACCAGCTTTTAGACAGCTGGAAAAGTGTTGACCAGACTTACCCACTCGGAGCAATGCTGGGGAGGTGGCTGGGAGGCAAACCTCTGTCAAGGACTGCCATTAGAGCTGTGGTCTCTGCTAATGAATTTGTGTTCCCTAATGAGCTGCTGGCGCCAGGCTTTGCTGCCCGCTCCGGAGGACAGCGGCTACCGGGCAATTACACAGAGGCACATTCTCCGTTAATGAAATGCACCTCATTTCCCATTGGTGCCAGAAAGTTGGGAATGAACAGGAATGTAAATGTGGGGTTTTTTTTCCTTGCTTCCTAACTGCCTTTCGCCCATACGCAGTCTGTATGGGGATGGTGCTGCCTGAAATCAGTCCTAGCACAAGCGATCTTGCTACGGTAAATCAAAGACAGCTCTTTACAGAGAACTGCTATCAAGGAGACACAAACACGAATCTGGTGTCAGTTCAGCACACCGACCACACAGCAGGATCGAGCTCTCCCCCTTGGGCATCCCTCATTTGTCCCCTGTTATCCCTCCTGGAGAAGCCAGCTCCTTGCACTAATGATTCCCACCATCACAATTAGCCCTTTAGCTGGAACAGCAGCACCAAGGCTACCTGATTTTTAGAGCTGAAAATCACCCTTAGGAGGTGAGAAGAGTTTTGAGGGTGCCCAAGATGATGGACACACACACTGGACTCAAAAAAAACCCTCTCTGCAAGGAGTGCCAGGATAATCCTGGGAATCGGAATCCTGAGCTCTCCCCAAAACCTTCTCAATGAGGAGGTTCAAGCCCTGCTTTTGGCTGTGCCCAGAGGCAGTGTCCATCTAGAACTTGGAATCTGGAGCTAAGCAACTTTTGTAGGAGGGAGGCGTAATGGGGAGGCTGACTGTGGCCTTCGCCCCAAAAAGCCTCTAACCTAGGAATTTCAGCTCAGGAGTTGCATGGTTTGGGATGACATTTCAGCATCTTCCTGCTCCAGACCACACGGAAGGAACCAAACACTAAACACACACAAAAGAACACTAAAAAATGGTTTAGAGGGGAAAAAAAAACCCCAACAAATCCAAAACCAGGTAATTCCTTATTGCAACTAGTTCATCTCATTCCCTTTCCCACCATCCAATCATTCCAATGCCAGGCATTGACCCCTTCTGCCTGCCCTGGGAGCTCCCACCCCCCATTTGCAAGGGCTGGAGACAGGCAAAGCATCTTTTAGCTTCTCACTCTCCACCAGCTTCATGTGTGTAACTGCTCAAAGACCCACAGAGAGCCCAAGCCACCCAGCTAAGCACACAGTCAACTCAAAGGGACCATGCCACCCTTTGAGAAACCACAGGGCTGCAAACTAATTACCTTGCAGCTCATTATCCCTCACTCTGCAAATGAGCCCACTATGAAGAGCTGGGAAGAAATTCCCATATCTCCCAGGCTTTCTTCCCAAAACACCCAGCACTGGCTCACCCCAGACACTGAGTCAGTGAAGGGGAGATGGCAATGAAGAGGAGGCAGCCAGGAGATAGCAAGCATCGACGTGGGAGGCAAAGGTTGAAGCAATGCTGGTGGTGGGAAAACTAGCACAGAGAATGGGATCATGTTCGAAATTTTTGGTAAATGTCAAAACTGCTTAAAAAAGGAAAAGTCTCTGGACTTGCAGGAGGTTGAGGAGAGGGGCCCGCAGGTTTGATAGCCCACTTACACCATCTAAATCCCCCTGGCTGCCATAATAAGGAGCTTTATCTGCCCATCCGAGGCGGTGGCCAAGGAGCCAGCCAGGGTATCAGTGACATCCGTTGCCATGGGAACACTATTACCAGGAAACGTGGCTCAAGGTGGAGAGGAAACCCCAGAGATTCATTAGCAACAGGTTCCCATGGCAACCGCTCCAAACTCATTAATAATTCTCCCTTCCCTTCCTGTTCCCCCCCTAAAAAAAATCCCCACCAAACTTCTTGCTGAGCGTGGGTGTGAAAATCCGCCGGGAAGGCTGATCAAAAGGAGGGGAAGATGCACCCATGCATGAGCAGCAGCACGGGGCTGTCCCCCCAGCTCCCCATCGCCCTGCTCCAGAACTTGCCTTTTAAATCCAGGATATAAACTAGAAGCAAGTGGTTAGGGTGGACGCACCCCATTTGCAGGGCAGCATCATGCTAAGGGATATGCTGTGACCTGAAAGCTGCTGTAAAGGGTAAAAAGAAGACTTCTCCATTCAAAGCAGAGCAGGAGCAATGTGGCTCCAGTTCGGAGGGTGTTTTCTATCCCCTGCCCACCCCAATGGGTGCTGCCATCTCCCCTCTTTCCATTCCCTGCCATCCAGATCCACTTTCTACTTGCTAAATTTGTTTGCCCTGAATTCAAGACCATGATTCTCTTCGTGCCCTAAAAACACAGCTGGGCTGCAAAAGGTGTTACTACACTCAAGAGAGGAGCAGAAGGTGGAAAATATGGGCAAAGTCAGAGCAGGGAGAATGAGACCCAAACCCCAGCACTGCTCCCTCCCTCCCAGCTTTCCCAGAAAACACAACATGCCTGCTCCTGAAAAATCACCTGTCTGGGCAGAGAACTTTCACGCTGCCGCCAGGGAATCTCGCTGTATCCCACACATCCCGGTTCAGGGGACAGTGAGACAAGTGAGCGTGAGCCTGACCTGGGAGAGGACAGGGAATGAGATGCAAGCATTGAGAGGGCTTGCATAAAAAATGAGTAAATCTCTTTCTTCTCTGCTGGAACAGCAAATTTACTGCAAATGAGCAAACACCTGTAGTGTGATGCTGCTGGGAACTGCGAGAGGGAAATGGTAAATGGACCAGAAAGAGCATCCCCTATGAGCACCTGCAGAATACACCCCATGGGACTGGGCAGCATAAAAGAACTGTGTCTCCTTAATAAACATTTCCTTTTTGCCAGCTGAATGGAGGTTTTCTTCATTTACACCCGTTCCCCTTCTGTGGAGCAACAAAAGTCGAAGAGACAGCAATATTTGATCCCTAAAATACAAATATCCCTGGGAGGTGATGTCCTCTTTTGTGCCCTAGTGCCTCTTTCAGTCCCCAAAACTCCAGGCAGACTTCAACACATGGAGACTGTCCTGAACTCACAACCCAGCTGATAACAGGGGGTAGGAAAAGTATCTGCTTCACATTGTTTTGCTGCTATTCTGCATCTGTTTTCTCAAAAGGAGAGCTCTAGCACCCCCAAAACTATTCCAAATCCACACTTCAAACCAGAGCTCATATCCAACCTGTTCCTGTGATTTTTTTTCCTATGGATTTCAATGAGACTGCTTACAGGACAATTAGGGAGTGTTTGTAGTATTAAGTGCTCTGGAGCATTTCTGTAACAATAGCTATTCCTCTCAAAGCCAAATAATACTGAATTAACTGTAATAATAGTATAATAACTCAACAAGCCCAGGGGCAGAACGTATGGCTTCTCTTTCTTTAGGTTTGCTTGCTTTACATAAATGAGATACAATCTCTTACGATAAACTAATAGAAATATCAAACAAATCAAACCATCTCCATGGGTTTTATCCTCTGCAGTTACAATAAAAAGTCTCAGGCAATATTAACCGAATACATTTCACATGCAAATATTAGATCCTAGCCTACGGCTGTCACACTTCCAGGAGAGGGTTGATTTCCTATACCTCCAGCCTAATCTCCCAGCTGGATGCCAAATAGTAAAACTGATATTTTGGCTGAAAGAGATTCAGATAGTACAGATTAACACATCTTGGATAATACATATTATATATATATAAGCACACACATATGAGTTCTTCTGTTTATATCCACAGCAAACTGTGTCCACCAGATTAGACTGCTGATGTAAGACAGAAATCTGATTAAAATCAATAAATATTCAGCTCTCTGCTGCACCTCTCTCCATGCTAATGTTAGGGCAATGCTTCCTAACTTTTCACCTTGCAGCATCTCCTCTGGACAAGGAGACCCCTCTTGGAAGCATCCGTGCTGCAGCAGTGGGTATATATCTAACACAGATCTGTTACAAGGTTCCTAAATTACAAATACAATCCTATAGCATCTTAAAATTCTCTCAACAGCAACAGCCACAAACAGATTAACTGAATAATGATATACTCATTATGCAGAAGTAGCCCCAAGCACACGACAGAACAGATCCCATCACACTAGGTGTTGCACAGAGAAGAAAGACAGCCCTTTGTCCAAAGAGCTCCCAACCTAAAATGACTTGTTATTTCAATTTTAATAAATCTACCCCCCTGATATCATAAAACCTGGCATCAGAACTGGCTTTCCTTGTAGCAATCAAACGACAAAGGCAAGAAGCTACTTCATAACCTCTCTCTATTGTAACTGCTTGGGATGCAGTTAAAGTTCATGGTAGCAAAGGGACTGAAAAGAGAGAGACAGAAGTCAGCAAATTACCAAGGTGCCAACAGGAAAGCCTTCATCTTGATACATTCTCAAGTCTGACTTGCTTTTAATTCAGTCTGACCAGGATGGAGTCATATAATGGGTCAAAAATACATATACTTGTTAGAATGCTATTTGGCTCGAAGGAACAAAGGTCAGGGAATATGCTTTCATTATTCACCATAATAAGACTGTGATACCAGTAGAAGAAAGATATTAACAGTGCTCAAGAGGGAATTGCTTGGCTCACTGCTGTGGATGATCCAGCTGCACTGCATGAAGGCAGGACTGCGGCAACAGGCACAGGCTGTGGGTGCTCAGGGCCACCCAACATCACAAGGGATGCTCTGCAGTGCAAGAAGACCCTGGTACCCGGTGGGACTGCACTTGCAGCATCCTTGTCAGGAAGCCCTGATCCTTTACAGGGAAACCATGCAAATATGAAACACCCCATTGCTGTAAGTCCTGGAGACAAGGGAGATGACTGTCCCTCTCTCTCCTGTCATGCATTCAGTGACAACCAGCAATGACCCTTCAGGCCTTAAGGACATTGTTTAGAAGACAGAAGAGAAAGGTGAAATACTCCTGTCAATCGAGTCTCTACATGTCTCTCAGCTCCAATGTGCATGTGCTCTTGGGGCACACAATAAATAGCACCTGTGAAAACATGTCCTTCAGGAAAAACTGAGGTATAGAATTGCAAGTTGGTTTTAGGAACATCTATGGCTTCAACCTAAAGTATTATTTGAATACTGCTGTTTAATTGTCCTAACAACTGGAATTAAAACCAACTTAATCTGGGTAGGATTTCTGGGTAGGATTAGACTAAGGATTTTAAATGTTACTTGTTCTGTCCTATTAAACACTGCTGTTGGGTTAATGGAGGTCTTTAGAAATTGTGGTACTATAATGATGCCATGGCCCTGAAGGGCTAAGCTTTCCACGATACCTATGCTGCAATTACCTCCACTTGCAGACTTCAAATCCTGGTCAACTTGTCCTCTTTAGATGCTCCCTCAAAGGCAGAATATGAGATGTTTTAGCCCACCAATAGGTCACCTTGC